CCTGAGTTCGATCCCCAGCACCACAAAAAAAAAAAAAAAGGCTAAATTTTTAATCATTACATTTATTTCCTTGTGGCCTGAAAGTAAACACCTTTCTGGAGCAGAGATCAGGGCTATTATTGCTGACATCAAGAAATGCACCATTCTATCACACCTAACACTTCAGGTGATACAAAGAGAACCAGTTGGACAGGGCTACACCTTACAGGGGTTGAATTAAGGGAGGGAGAAGTATCCCAGAATCAAAAATCTCAGAGTTGGTGCAGGACTATTATCCAACTGCCACTTTCCCCTGAGAAAGGGAAAGAAAGCTTACCTAGCTAAGGCTAAGGCACAGGCACACACAATGGGCTTTTTGTTTTCATTCAGTGCTCTGAAAGGTTCTTAATCACTGACCTAAGTATGGAAATTCTCCCTGGGAAGAAAAAAAAAAAAAAGGTCTCTCTGGATTCTTATCCCTTGGAATGTAAATAAAATCTCTGGGAGGAGATAAGATAAATTTCACTGGTTCTACAATGTTAGGGCTGTCTCTAAGGTTCTGGGTTTTATATGCCTTTAAAATATAAATACATACCTCCTGGAAATCCTCATCAGTTATCTTTTAACTTCCAGGGCTTGTCCTTTTATCTTAATTTCAGTTTTCATGATTTAGAAAATCCGGACAGTGCAGAAACATGAAAATACATATTTATTCTTAAAATGAACCCAAGAATTGATATTTACAGCAGCAATTAAAAACTGACACCTTTCTAAAAATAATAGTGTTCAAATCCTTTGTGTAGAGCTCTGGGAATTCCTCAAAGGGCCGGCAGAGAGTCTCTGGTGATACTGTAAGGGGGAAGGTAAAGTAAGTAAATATAGTGACCCCAAACTTGCTTTAAACACAACTCACATACACTGAACTTCTAAGTATTGTTTGTGAAGATAGGGTTTTATTGGGAAAAAAAAAAAAAAAACAGAAACACACACAAAAAATAAATCAAATAAAAAAAGAAGAAACACCAAAAAAGCCTTAAAAGTAGACAAGGTCCCATTTACACTTACTTTCTTGTCTTAGTACTCTTATTATAGACAGCTAAATTAGGTAGAAATATAGGCAGTCAGACAGGGCTAAGCTCTTGAGGTAGTCAGTGCATAAGATGAGAACATATTACAACTGTGACTAGAGGTACACCTGTTGAAGGTCAGGCCTCAAGATAAAGAATGAATGACCAGGCCTACGTTTCCTCAAGGAATGAGTAACAATTTGAGGTTATACGATTGGTATCACCTGGTCCAGTAAAGTTCAGATAAATATGTCACACATGTGAGTGACCAGAGCATCCAGACCCATACCTTCCCAAAATTGTCTCTGTTCTTTCCATGTACCTGCTTCCCTTATTGGATCAATATTAGTTAACTGGTTGTACTTGTGATCCTATTGGTTGACAATAGCTTGACCTCATGATTTAGCTCTATAAAGCATTCTTAGAGAAGTAGCCTCAGGACCACTTTCGGGTCCCCTCCTGTCCCTCAATAGGTATCTCTCAATAAATTTTTCATACTCTTAATCTCTCTTGTTCCTTAGAATCCATTGTTCAATTTCGGGGTACACTAACTCAGTGTATCTGACATTTAATGGGTTGGGAGTTGTATTTCTCCTATTATACTTGCTTTTTGGGGTTTTTGTTTTGTTTTGTTTTGTTTTTTTGAGACAAGGTCTCACTATGTAGTTGAGACTGACCTGGAACTCACTATGTAGCCCAGGCTGGTCTTGAACTCACAGCTAATCTCCTGCCTCAGCCTCCCGCCTCAGCCTCCAGAGTGCTGGGATTAAAGGCGTGCACCACCACACCTGGTTTATACTTGCTTTAATGCAGAACTTCTAAAACACAATAACCACAAAATTAGTTACTTCTTGGGCTCCTCATGAAGCTTACCGGTGCTCAGAAAGTTCCTTTTTTTTTTTTTTTTTTTTTTTTTTTTTTTT